AGTCTACACGGGTGCACCTCCAGGCCCGTCCCGACACTCAGTCCTGGTTTAGTCCTGGTTCAGGTCTCTATAGGACAGTAGTGCAAATATCATGAGCCTGTGCAGTTTGTTTTCACCGTTGCCAGTAGCTCTGGTTTGACATTTAACTTGTAGCTATTTTATATTTGTTATTTTTTTATATCTCTTGTCGGGAGAAGTGGGTGGACGGCATACGCCCACATACCATGTTCACTACACCCCTGCTACTATGGGTTTGTGTACATTACAGTTTATGATGCTGTCAGAAGTCCTTGTTCTACTACAGATTCACAGAGTTAACTAAGGATGTAACAGTAACCCAAATTGTGTGATGTCGTATTGTCAAAAGTCTCACATTATATCGAATAACAAATGTTTCTGCTTAAATTCATTGTCATCATGCAGGAGTCGCTAAAAAAACAGAGGGAACTACATCGACCATGACAGACTACACGAAGAAATAACTGTTAATAATCACTTTTAAATATGAATTCTTTGCGTTATAACATGACCAGAGGCTTGTAAAGGCATTTGAAAAGGAAAATATTGTATTGCGGGTTTGGTTCGGTGTTTAAATGAGAGCGGCTGCTGTGTTTTCCATTGGCTCACAGTGACTCACAGACTACAGTGGGAGACGGGCACATTCCAGCATTCCTCCGTCTGCTGCTCCGCTCCACTCCATTTACTACAACATGTGCTCCTAATAACGCACACTCACCTACTTCTACTATAAATATGTACAAATACTTTCTCTGGAATCCGGATTACAAAAGAGTACACTGTGACTGAGTCGATGAGCGGGAGTAAAACAGGAACATGGACTTTTAAGGAGGTATTTTCAACCAGAACAAATCAGCAGCTCAGGAAAGTTACAGTAACCACAGTAGTAGTAGAAGTAGTAGTAATACAAACAGTCATAGAGCTTATAGTAGTAGCAGTAGTACTAATAGTTGTAGTGGTAGTAATAGTTTTTGTAGGCCTATAGTAGCAGTAACCATAGTAGTAGTAGTACAAACAGTCATAGGCCTAATAGTTGTAGTGGTAGTAATACTTTTTGGCTTATAGTAGCGGTAACCATTGTAGTGGTGGTGGTAGTAGTAGTAGTAGTAGTAGTAGTAGTAGTAGTAGTAGTAGTAGTACAAACAGTCATAAGCCTAATAGTAGCTGCAGTAGTAGTAACAGTTGTAGTGGTAGAAATAGATTTTTCAGGCTATAGTAGTAGTAGTAGTAGTAGTAGTAGTAGTAGTACAAACAGTTATAGGCCTAATAGTAGTAGCAGTAGTAGTAAAACTTGTTGTAATAGGTTTTGTCGCCCTGTAGTACCATAACCATAGTACTAGTGGTAATAGTATAAACAGTAGGCCTAATTGTAGTAGCAGTAGTAGTAATAGTTGTAGTGGTGATAGTAGTAATGATTGTAGTGGTAGTAGTAATAGTTTTCTTTAGGCTTATAGGAGTAGTAACTGTAGTAGTGGTGGTGGTAATAGTAACAGTACAAACAGTCATAGACGTAATAGTAGTAATAGTAGTAGTAATAGTTGTAGTGGTAGTAATAGTTTTTGTAGGCCTATAGTAGCAGTAACTGTAGTAATGGTGGTAGTAGTAGTAGTACAAACAGTCATAGGTCTATTAGTAGTAGCATTAGTAGTTATAGTTGTATTAATAGTAATAGTTTTTATAGGCCAATAGTAGCAGTAACTGTAGTAGTGATGGTAGTAGTAGTAATAGTAGTAGTAGTAGTGCAAACAGTCATAGGCAACAGTAGTAGCAATAGTAGTAGTAATAGTTGTAGTGGTAGTAACAATTTTCATAGACTTAAAGTAGCAGTGGCTGTGGTAATAGTACAGTCATAGGCCTAATAGTAGTATTAGTAGTAGCCCAAGTTGTAGTGCCAGAGTAGTACTAGTAGTTGCAGCACTGTGCAAATAGCAGCAGCAGCAGTAGTAGTAGTAGTAGTAGTAGTAGTAGTAGTAGTAGTAGTAGTAGTAGTAGTAGTAGTAGTAGTAGTAGTAGTAGTAGTAGTAGTAGTAGTTGAGAACAATGAAACAATTGTTGTCTCAGTTTGTTTTCTGAAAGCAGTATAAGTAGTGTAGTAGAATATAATAGTGAATAGTTTTTGAAAGTTTTTAAATGGTTATGGAAATTCCCCTTAAGTAGTAGTAGTAGTAGTAGTAGTCGTAGTAGTCGTAGTTGTGTCTTGAAAATGATGATGGAAACCCCCTCGAGGTCGTCCAGGTGTGTAGGATGACGTAAAGATCTTTAGGTTTCAAAATTGAACAGAGATGTGTGGATGGAGAGATCAGGACATTAACGTGAGCGGAGGTGAAGAGGGCGACGCCGTTTTGTTTTTCCAGAGTGTGAAATGTAACAGACGTACACACACACACACGCACACACGCACACACAGTTTAGTCACGTCTCGACAATTTACGAGCAATTTACCTTAAGAATGTTTGGTAATGGAACTAAAAGCTCCCTGTAG